AATCAATAATTAGTAATTTTTTGTAATATGAAATGTTATTTGAAAAAAAAAATTTCTTTTCTAACTACTTTTTTTTGATTTTATATTTTAGCATGAATATAAATTCGATAATTTAATAGATGTTTCTAGTAACTATTGGACTGTTTTTATAAATATAAAATATTTTTTCTTGTAATTAGAGATTTAGAAAAAATATATATCGGTGTCCCATCTACTTCAAAGGGTTAATATGTTACAATAAACGGTATTCTAAAAACGATTAGAAATCTTTGTTCCCCTAAATTTGAATGCAGTGAAATCAAAGGAAAAATGTTTAGCATCGCATCAACATGCGTGGGAATTTGTCTCAAAATTAGGGTTGTCTCGAAATTTTACTTGCAAAATGTAGCATTGTAGAATGAACATTTTACTGATAATACGCAAATAGTATAATGCATTTTAATTTAACAAATAAGAGAATTCCTTTTTAATGCCATATTACTTAACATTTACATACTATTTAATAAAAGGTCTTAAAATATTTGATGGGTGTTTATTTTGGGTAAGAAGAATTAAAGTAATTAAAATATCACTCGTAAAAATTGAAGGAAGTGTATTTTTTAAAATTTTTTTGTTAGAATATCAAAGTAGAAAATAAATTGCTTCATGAGTAACAATCACACACATATTTAATATTGAAATTTTTTAAGCATATGATGATACCATGGTACACGATATTGTTGTTATAATTTTGGCTACATACTGCATAAATGATGTTGATTAAGATACTAGTGTTGATTCGATTGTGTCGACTAAGTTCGGCACATTTTTTTAAAGCAGCCTTAATACGATTTTTTATTTTATTTTTAGTAAGCAGAATTCCTGACATTATAAATGAGTAAACTTTCGAAATTTTTAAATTTTTACTTCGAAATTACTGAAAATTTGAGCATGATAACTGCAAATTTCTTCTGTCACCCTACCAACGCTTTAGCACGTTGTAAGGCATTAGTATGTATTTGTATGCGTTTAATAATGCATAAGTAATTTTCTTTCTTAATCACTAGTATAATTAACTGCATTTTGAACTAAAATCTTTAAGCAATCTTTAGGAAAAATCTTTAAACAATCTTTGTTTGAAACATTTTTCAAATATGCAATGATAAAAAATCTAAATATTCTTACTTAATGTGTGATAAAAGTAATAAATTCACATTTTGAATTTAGCGTCTAGTTCAAAACATAGCTAACTATCTACAAAATCTGCATACAAAGTTTCCAAAAATTCTATAATAAATTTTATTTGTAATGTGTTAGCGTAAAGAGATTTTTTTAAAATTTGTCATTCTTTCTTATTTTCTTATTCTGTTTTGTCTGTCAGCAAGTGAAAAAACATCTCTTAAACATTTGATTCTAAATACTGAAGAACAAAAGTTTAAGGAAATTTTGAAAGCAACAAAAGTTGAAATCTTTAAATATAAAAATAAAAAAATAAAACTCGAAATTTTCGTCGAAACTACCGATTTTTACTCAATTGGATACATTATGGTACATATATATATATATAGTATATATTTATTATATTTTTATTATGCATGTATTTATTATATATTTATTAGGTAAATATTTATTATATATAGTACATATTATATGGATTTATAGTATATATTTCCTTATGAAACTAGAAATACTTACTTTTAAAGTAAGGTGATATTTAACCTTTACTAAGCGAAATTTATAACTGGAAAAAAATTATTATTAAAAAAACTAAAGTTTTACAAAATGCAAATAAATATTTTAAAAATTTAGCAGAAATATATTAGCAGTAACCATTTTCATTCAGATTCTGCAGACAATGCATTAAAAAATTTTTTACATTGAATGGTATGCTTAGTTGTTAAGAATTATTATTTGAATGCAAACTTTTTCTGCTCTCTTGGGGATTTTATAAAATATTTTCCATCAAAGTAAGTTTACGATTTTTTACTTACTACGTGGAGAGGATAACACAATTTGTTGGTTTGATTCAGTTAAAAAATATGAATTATGAAAAAAGTCTTTTCTTAAAAAGAAACTGCAAAGAGCTTTTCATAGACTTGAATATTTCGAACAAAATTTCTACACTTTTTGAAAAAGCCTTGAGCGAAGTANTTTTTTTTTTTTTTTTTTTTTTTTTTTTTGACAAAACTAATTCAAAGATAAAATTTATAAAAAATTTGGAAAGAATTCTTCTTATTTTTACTTAGTTTACTAGAATAGAAATCGTAGAATAATTTTCCAATTAGAATGTTTTATTCGCAGTAAAAAATATTTAAAATTTATATAAACTTACAAAAAATATGTTTAAGAAAAAAATTAAAATTTTTCGTGTTTAATGTAGTTTTTGAACTTTTATAGGCTCAAATACCTAACTTTACATTAATGAAAACAATCATAAAAAATGTCAATGCTTTTAAATATAAAATTAATCTTGCTGCCTCTATCTCAATGTTTGAAAATGAGAATAATAATAATGAGGCTTACGCCAACGAATGAAGTGTATGAACATCTCTATATGTAATTTTAGTTTGTAGTATATATCTTTGGCACATTGATCCTAACTGACCACCCTCAATATACCTGTTTGAAATTGTTGCCAAAGTAAAAGAATGTTTTGATATTTTCATTCCACTTTCCTCACTAGTGATTCATCCTAGCTTAAATATTAATTTACATATCCCCATGAGTAGATATTTTTAGATCGTTTTTGATAAGAACTCGTATAATAATAACATATACGAAACGCGTTGTACATATTTTAAATACTATGTAACCGCATTCACGTAAAATTGCTTGTTTGGCTTAATTCTTAATGAATTAAACATATTATTTGAGGGAATCTCTAAAAAAAGTTATTAGGTAATTGAAAAAAGTTTCCATGATTCAAATAATTCGCTTTAAAATTAGACTCGATTTTTCACCTCAAATAATTCTCAAGTACGATCGAATTTCTATAACACACGAAAGAAACTACAATTAAAGAATGAAGAGTATACGATGGAGAATTGCAGTTAAAAGGCATCTTTTAAATTTAAGTTTATAAGCTTTTTGGAATTTATTATATTATTAATAACTTTTATAAAAAAAGGGCTCAAAAATTACATTGTCTACTATGCTATAACGGAGCATGTAAAAAATCCCATTGGGCACATTTTTTATTATCAATACTTACATGTGCGGAAATGTAAATATTGAATCAGAAATATACTATAATAGCAGTTATAAATAAACAAAAAAACAAAGTTAGCTCATTATTTTTGCTCCTGCGCATAAAAATAAATAAATAAATAAAAAATTTAAAACTGAAATGTTTTCGGCAAAAGAGGGAATGATATCACTTTAATTACATTAACTTAACATCTGCTTTGAATCTTTAATGAAATGAAGGAGCAGGCTATTTTTTTTTTAAATGCTAAAACTCGATCCTACTTAATCTTTTTTTAGAAGTTGTTTTGTCTTACTGGTAAGTGCAGCGGATTGTGTGATAATAAGTACCTTTAAATGAATAGTTACACTTAAATGGGTGCATTCATAAGTTTTTATTAATATGCAATTAAAAAATAAGTTAGGATAGGTAAAATATTTTTTCGATATGTATTCCGTTGACTAACATGACCTGTAATTTAAAAACAATCTTTACCCCCATTCAATCTGAAGAGATATTGCGAGCGTTCCGATTGGATCATTCGTCAACGTCATTCATGACGTATTGCTGTTCCTTTATCCAGAACTCAATATTTCTAACATTGAAAGATTTTTGTGGATAAACTATTTTTTTAAACTAGCAGCATTAGCCTTTTCACCATGAAAACAAGTCCCTTCATTAATAATGAAATTGAATTTATTTTGACAATTATCGAGAATATAAATTAATAAGAAACTGATATTTATCCGATTTATTAAATGGCATTGAAAGGACAGTTTTAAAGAGCAGTTTCTTATGGATAATTAGTTATAAAACTGATATATTTTACTCATGGTACGCTCTTTTATTATGGAATTAGTAAAAAAGTAGCTTGAAAATTAAAAAACTTTAAACTTGTAATTAATTTAAATATTACCGTTCATTAGTTAGAGTTTTAATTTTTTCAAAACAAAAACATATTTAATTTTATAGAATTAAAAAAAGTATTTTACTTATTTTTTTCTGTGAAAAAATCTTAACTTGAATCTGAATAAAATCTTATCTATTTATTTTAAACAATTTACAAAAATATAATAAAGTACAAGGCAAGTGAACAAAAATAAAATTAAAGTTTAAATCAAATGAGATTTCAAAAAACATGCTATTATTATTCAAAAAAATCTAGTTGGTGCTCTAAAATTTTTGTAATAGGAATTTTCCTTTGAAAATTCATTTGTGAAACAAAAATCGTTTAACATGTAAGAGCTGATTCGTGATCTACATTTTGTAAACAAGTTTAGCAGAAAGGCTAAAGATACAGTTAAGAGGTTCTGTAAAAACAGACAAACCTAGATTACTTGGAAAGAAAAACAAATCTAAGTGCTCAGAATCTCTTTTCATATTAACATGTGTTAAGGATCGATTTTATGGCATTTAAAAATTTTGAGGCTTTTCAAATTCTGATCATAGTATTTAGATTGATAATAAAGCTTTTGAAAGAATGCATTTATTATTAAACAATCGTTTGTGTTGTAGAATTTCTTGTTTCCAAAAATCGTGCATTAAAGCAAAAATATGAGTTCTCTCTTAGTTAAGTAATAATTTTAATTAAGAATTTAATCACTATATTAATCAAATATTTTTTCTACGGGATCTTGCGAGCAATTTATGATATGAATAAACTTTTCAATCCAATGTAATATTTCTTTCAATGCATTTCGTTTGCATATAATAAAAAAAACATATTCACCAATCTAATACTTTATTTATTTCCACATGTGTTTAAATGCTTTTAAATGTATTCATGCTATCAGATTCGACATGATTAAAAATTGAACTAAAATGAAATTATTCATACCATTTCAACAGAGCCATATCTGCGCCTACTAAAAACGCCTCGTCTAGCTGCTAGATCTGTTGTTGAGGAGCTGAAAGAGGAAAAAAACATCTATTGAAACGAGCACTGGTAATATTTGCATATTTTATTGATAGTTTTAAGAGCATCATGAAGGAAAAACGAAACGCTCTATTCGGTGAATTTTCAGTTCTTATTTATTGAAGATTTATGCTACTTCATTTTGAATTTCAATTTAATTATTTGTGTTGCGCGGATTTAGAACTGAAATAGATTTAGTTTAAAAAAAAAGATTTATGGACGGTAGTGAAACACACAATTAACATATAAACCGAAAAATTTTTCCAAAATAAGCATTTTATTTCAAAATTGGTATTTGTCTCTGTAACCATTAAGGCTTTGAAAGAAAACAATTTGTTTTGCCGTTCAGAGTTTGTATTTAATAAACAAGTATTGGCAACAGGCAAGAAAATTTTTTGATTATGTATGTTTATCCGAAGAAAGAAGTTAACAATATTGAATTTCTTAGTTTCTTCAGTTACATATCTATTCTATTTAAATGAAGTCAAAACTGAATGACAATTCTTTTGATGGGAAAAATTATATATTTCATCTAATTTTAAATGTATACAACTGTCAATGTTCTTACGAATACCGAAAAAGACTTAACTTCAATTGTTTAAAGATAATGACACAAACATTTAAGACAAAAAAAGTATTTTTACATTTCTACAAATAAAAGAAAAAAAATAGTAGTTTCGGCCAGTAAGAAATAGATATTTTCTCATTTTACGAATAAAAAGTTTTTTTTCCCTTTATCAAACGGATTTTTGTGAGTAACCTTTAATAACACACATTTTCAAAACAAATTTTAAATAAATAGCTTATGTTACCATGCATAAAATATGACTTCCGAGTTACTAGTGTAATATATAATCTATAGAAATGTGGATAAACGTTGTGCTGAAATAAATTTTAAGGTCCTTCTAAACTGATTTTTATGAGTTTTGTAAGTTATATTTATAACTTACAGTGCTTAACACTAATTCTTATTGCAAAGGTGCCTATTTAAATAAATTCTGCTTGCGAGGTGAAAAATTGATTTATAATTTTAGAAATGATTTAAATGTATTATTAAAGTATTCAAATTTAAAGCTGATCATAATGAATTGAAAGTAGAATTTTATGCACAAAGAGCCTGTAGCGATTAATCAATAATGAACATTACACACCTAATCTAGAAAAATCAAACAATGCTTATTAATAGGGTACTTTGGGGAAGTGGAGCTCGTTATCACCTCTATTCACCTCTTATAAAAATTCTAAACTAAAAAAGACCTGAATAGCAAACCTTTATTTCGATTGAGTAATAATCTAATTCGATAATAGCTTTATGCTTATTGAATATTTCTCACATATCAAATGATGAATAAGTTTTCAGAAAAATATAGTGAATGCAAACTACAAAACAACAACAAATATTCATATTTCTTTTAAATTTGATAAACAGAAGTTAAAATCTCCGGATAAATTTTTGGTTCGGATTAATTTTTATCTACAACAAAACCATTTAATACTATATTTATTCCTTTTATGAAAATTAAACCTTTATTTCGATTGAGTAGTAATCTAATTCCACAATAGCTTTATACTTATTCAACATCTCTCACACATTAAATGATGAATGAGTTTTCAGAAGAATGTTGTAAAGACAAACTACAAAGCAGCGTTTCGTGAAATTGCATTTGCATATTTAACAAATGTATGACATAAGATCTCGTAACAATACGCGGTGTTGTGTGCCATATCACGTGGGCATCATTTGTAATGCTTGGAATGAGCTGTGAAATTTTATCAGAGATGTTGTCACCTAAAATCTGCTTCTCATTTAATTACTTAATGGAATAAATTTCAGTGAAAGGTTACACACATAATCACATTTATTCTTGAAAAATATATTTTTTTCACGTTTATTTATTTTAATTTTCTTTCATAACAATATTTTTAGAATAAACTTATAAGTTTTTAAATATTACACTGAGTAAGAATAAAAAAAATCTAAACTTTTCGTTTAAAAAAACAACCTTGCAGTTTATGTTCATGAAAAAGTGTAATATTTATTTAATCTTAAGTATAGTCAGTTCTTCCAGAACATTCAAACTTTCCAAACTTCTGACATGTCTTTGCCAGTAGATATAAGGTTTGAATAACTACTAATCTTTAAGTGTTAATTCCTAACTAAAGTAAATATCTAACTAAAGTGTTAACTATTAATATAATTACCAAATTATATTAACTTTCTTCAGCATTTAATTTATATACATCTTTTTCACACTTTAGGCTTTTATTAAAAAAATAATAATTGTTTTTGTACACTGGAATTTATGGGAAATGTTTATGCTTTAATATATTTAATATTAAGATTTAATATTAAGGAGTCATTTATACAAATTTTTTGATTGAGAGTGGTTTCAAAAATGGATTGAATGAGAATCCTAACAAATTATGAGAAACAAATCCACTTTTATGATTTCAGAATCATTGCTGTTGATAATTTGTTGTTATGGGAATATAGGTCAAAAATAAATTTTTTAGCATAGATTTAAAAAAAATCTTTTTTGTCAACATTGCGCGCAGATTTAGATATTGCAAAATCATTCTATAATAATAAAGAACTTTTTAAATTCAAATTTGAGTTCAATGATCAGCTATCATTTTCTATGTCATTCAATTAGGTTACACTAAATTTACAATCGACTAAAAAATGAACAGACAGAAAAACTTTTGTTCTTGATCAGATTCTCTTTCAATAGGAAAAAGATTACAGCCTTGAAGTAATTCTTTACGTCATGATAAAAACTTCGTCCGACAATTAGATTTTACTTTCTTTCAAAACCCTACGTTATCATATATAATTTTAAAATTGAGCTTAAAAAAAATTATTAAAAATGAAGAAAAAAATTTAGTAATTCATTTTTAAATAATAAAACTTCATCTTCCTACCTTTTAAATTTTATTTAGCTCGTTTAGTTGAGACTTAATAAATCATGTAAATAAATAGTACATAAAATCTTACAGGAAAACATTCAATCCGTTTCCTTACTTGCAATGCTTATTTATATCTTTTAAATCAATGGGTTGACATGGAAACGAAATTAAATTATAGCATGAAAAATAAATTTTCCTATAATCATTTATTATAACAGAAACAGCCTGCTGTTAAATTTAATTGGAAGCTTTCTTGTTAAATACTTTGAGCACTCAGTTAAAGTTAGTAATTAAAAGTAGTTAATGTTCTCAGCAGGAGTTTGAAAGCGAGGGTGTAAACAATTTACTTACTAATTGCACTATATTTAAGGAACATGAATATTCATATTTATATTCATTAAAATCTCAGCAACTTATTATACATAACTTAATAGCTTATGATAAAGCATTGATTGAAAAACTTTTCTTTAAATACATAACTTGAGTACTAATACAATAATTCTTTTTAATGGATTAACATTTTCTAAATATTTGGTAGGTCAAATGGGGTTTATTTATTTATATATATAATCTATTAGTATTAATGAAAAATTAGTATTAAAGGCANGTTATAAACTTATAAAAATCAAATCATCAATAATACAATTATTAATTTGGGTGCAAAATGCCACAATATTATTTTTCTAAATATATCATTTTTATTGAAACTATAGTTTTTTGAAACTGCTAGAATTATTTTATAAAATTATTCATCATAATTAAAAATAATTAACTTAGAACATTTATACGCTTACGGCTTAAGATTTTACTTATAAAGTAAGCGGGTAAACAAATACTATTATAAGCTTATTTTTCAGAAAAAATAAACATAAGCATTTGGAGATTAATCATACATTTAGCTTTGTAGAACAGTAACTGAAGGGTGTTCTTTGAAACTTTCTCATGGAAGAAAAATAAAATTAAAAGACCCCCCCCCCCAGTTTCAGTGCTTTAAATCGAAACGACTATATTAACTATCTAACTAACGAATTTAAACGAATTGACGCTTATTATTTTGAATATTTGAAAAAATGATTGTTTTAAAAAAGAGTTTCCAATTTGAAGATATAGCTTCATTTAGAATCACTTCAATTGCTTGGAAATATCATGAGCCCCTATTAATGAGGAGTGGAAATAACTTCTCAAATGTTTCAAAAAGTATATTTTACATTTTAAAAAAACTGAGACTTTCCTTCATGAGTGCTAATTTCATTATCGGATTAGATGTCGCTGGCTGGATATAAACACAGACAAAACATAACAGTCGTGAGTAACGCATAACAATTTAAAAAAAGTAATATTCTATGTAACAAAAGTACCTTAATGAAAAGCCTTACAAAGATTTGATAAAATTGTTTTAAAGCTAAAGGGTTTCAAATATTAAATATGTTTTATTAATCTTTTTTTCACAAGTAAGTAGTATCTGATAAAAGTGAAACTTTTAATTTTTAAGGTATTTATGCGCATATTTTACTTTTTTTTATTAAAGCTCTTACAATCTCTAACATCGATCTAATCTTTGTCAAACAAAGAGATCACATTTCCACAATAATCCTTAACTGCTTTCTTCAAAGTCCTTGGATTAGAACTAACGGGGAAAACAAAGAGGTTGTTAATGCGATTGCAAGCCCAGTTTCCGTTTGTCTAAGTCCCGATTGAGTGAAGCAAAACATCGAAAAAATAAAAAGCAAAACATCGAAGCAAGGAATACTTGTACGCTTAGCTAATTTGTTAGCGAATTAATAGCAGTTTTTTTTCCTGAATAATAATGTTAGATATATCATAAATATTACTTTGAAAAATCTAAAAACTATTTAAATCTACCTTAAAAAGTTTCTAAAATATCTTTAAATATTATTTTGGCTAATTAATTACATGGATTATACAAGCTAACAGATTAATTAATATAATTTTGTAATGCATTTCTTATGTCACTTAGATTAAGTACACCGTACTGAATATTATAAGCTTTGTGCTAAAAAGTACACTGTACTGATGACTTTAAGCATTGTGCTAAAAAGTATACTGCACTGATGACTATAAGCA